AAAAAAAAAAAAAAAAAATCATTAAAAATAAACAGGGATTGGAAGGTCCAGGAAGAACAGGTGGTGTTTGGATAGTGCATGGTAGAGCTTGTGTGTTTTGTCGTTGTTTACTTATTTGTGAGCGTGAGTTCATGCTCGTGTGTACTTGTGTGTGCCATGGCAAATGAGGAAGACAGAGGACAGCTTTTGGAAGTCACTTCTCTCGTGCCACAGGTACTAGGAGGTGAGGTCAGGTGGTCAAGACTTGCACAGCAACGCGTTCTCACCCCCTGAGCCTGAGCATCGGGCACGCCCTGCTGGTTCTTGGTTTTGTTTTCTCTTTAAATGAACTCTTCATGGCTTCTCTCCAAACAGACAGCTACAGACAGTTCTTCTAATTCCTCTCAGAAGAGGGAGCAGCATACGAGGACAATCTCCTCCCCCACATCGTGTGAGCACCGGAGGATTTACACCCTTGACCCATACCCCATGGACCATTACCACCCCGACCAGGTGAGCAGGGGACTTCATCCCTCTGGAGACATAAGGACAGCTGTGTATGGCCTTCTCCCCCCGCCCCAGGCCCAGCCACTTTCCCCACAGCCATGGTGGAGGTGTTCTGGTGGTCCCAGCTCAGCCTCCCACGGCCCCTTGCCTCACCCCTGTGTATGCTCTGCCTGCTTTTATCCAATCACTCCGTGAGGCAGGGCGTTGGCATCCCTAGTTTACAGATGAGAATGTGGTAGAGCTGTGGAGTGCCCGGGGGAAGGAGGTCCAGGCGCACAGTCCTTGCACGGGGCGCCGGGCCTCCCTGTTCCTCTATCCAGAGGGCCTCGTGGCTGTGAAAGCCCAGGGCCCCAGTCCAGGAATGCTGCACCCTTGGCTTGCATCCCTTCCATGCGGGCTGCAGGCCCAGTCTTGCTCAAGGGGATGCATGTAACTGCAGTCTGAATTCAGTCATTCAACAAATATTTACTGAGTAGCTGTTTGTGGAACAGGTTCCCAAATCATGGGGAATAGACTAGTGCCTCTGTAGATTATGTGGCCTCTTGGCTGACTTGAGAAGCAGCAAGTACTGGGCAGGGTTTGTTGCTGTTCTAAGATGGTTTTACTGTGTGCTTCCTCATATTGTGACACTAAAATGTTCATTTTTGAGCTGGGCATGGTGGCATACACCTGTAATCCTAAATTTGGGAGGGTGAGGTAGGCCAGCCTGGGCTACATGGTGAGTTCCAGGCTAATCTGGGCAAAAGTGAGAGCTGTCTTAAACAAACAGAAAAACTCAACAACAAAATACTTGATTTTAAACCAGGCCTGCAATCCCCACGCTTGGCAGCTTGTTGCTATGTGACACAAACACCTTAAAGGGGGGGGGGGGCAGCGTCCAAGGGCCCTCACAGCCCATCCTCGTGGTGGATAAAGTCACGGCAGCAGAAGGCTTGTGCCCAGCTCACGCTCGCCTTTTTATATAGTCCAGGATTCCAGCCCAGCGAATCTCTCTTCCCACAGTGGGTGTGTCTTCCTATCTCAATTACCTTAATCAAGATAATCCCCCAGCTGGGTGGTGGTGACACACACCTTTAACCCCAGCACTGGCGGGGGTTGGGGGGTGGGGTCCAGGGATCAGATCTCCGTGAGTTCGAAGCCAGTCTGGTCTGCAGAGTGAGTTTTCTAGGACAGCCAGCGCTGTTAGACAGAGAAACCCTGTCCTGAAAAACCAAAAGAAAAAGAAAGAAAAAAAGAAGATAATCCCCTACAAGGCTGTCTTCCTAATGATGCGTCAAGTTGACCAGTGGATTAACCATCAAGGATGCTTGTAGGATTAAGATCAGCATCTGGAAGCTTCTTATCTTTCTCACATTTGTACATCTATCTTTTCAATGAGATTATAGTTACAACAGGACTAGGGGACCTTGTGTACTCGCTTTTTTTTCCTCCCCGGGAGTGGTGGCTCACACCTTCAATCCTAGCACCCAGGAGGCTGAGGCAGAAGCAGACAGATCTCTGTGAGTTCCAGGACATCCAGGCTTGACAGTGAGACCCTGTCTCTAAATAAATACACAGCTGGTATTTGTACCGATGAGTGCATACTATATAAAAACTGTACAGAACTGCAGTACCCTGTTAGAGGTTGGCTCAGCACAGCGCGACCTGAGTGCAGCAGACCCGAGGCACGCAGAAGGTGGAGATTGCAAGTGAGGCAGGACCTGTTTTTGCTCTTCATGTGAGAATGCTGGACTTGCCCAACTGCACTACTTTTTTTGTTTGTTTGTTTGTTTGTTTTCCAGACGGGTTTCTCTGTGTAGCTTTGGAGCCTGTCCTGTTTTGTAGATCAGGCTGGCCTTGAACTCACAGAGATCTGCCTGCCTCTGCCTGGGATTGAAGGCATGTGGGCATACTCCCTTTTGAGGCAGGGGTCTTCCTTAGCCCAGGGTAGCAGAGAAAGACATTGAATGTACTAATCTGCCTCCATCTCCCAACTGTTGGGGTTCCAGGCGAGGGCTCGGCGCCCGGGCTATAGGATGCAGGGGACTGATTGACTTCAGGACTTCCTACTTGCTTGGCAAGAATTCACCATCTGAGTTCAACCTGCTCTTAAGATGGGCAGACCTTCCAACGAAACCGGCAAAACTGCTAAACTGGGCTCGCATAATTGAGGCTCACAATGTGAAAAGCATCTGGGAGTGACAAGCTGTCCAGAAAAGATTGTCAGCTCTTCCTACAAGTCTTTGAAGGAAGAGCCGGCAGATCTTTTCTTCGGCGAATCTTTGAAGGAAGGGCCAGCAGATCTTTTCTTTGGCAGCTGTCCATGGAGTCCTGGGGCTGTAACAGTATCTGGTTTTTCCCTGGACAGCGGATGCCGCGGTCCTACCCCCAGGTCACCTTCCCAGAGGATGACGAGGAAATCGTACGCATTAACCCGCGGGAGAAGATCTGGATGACCAGCGGCTATGAGGATTACCGGCACGCTCCAGTGCGCAGCAAATACCTGGATACCGCGGAGGACGGGGACTCCTACGTGCGCTTCGCCAAGGGCGAGGTCCCCAAGCACGACTATAATTACCCTTATGTAGACTCCTCAGACTTCGGCTTCGGCGAGGATCCTAAAAGCCATGGTAGCAGTGTGATCAAGACGCAGCCAGCCAGGGGCAAGTCCCGACGGCGCAAGGAGGACGGCGAGCGCTCGCGGTGCGTGTATTGCAGGGACATGTTCAACCACGAGGAGAACCGTAGGGGCCACTGCCAGGATGCGCCGGATGCTGTGAGAACTTGTATAAGGCGCGTGAGCTGTATGTGGTGCGCGGACAGTATGCTCTACCACTGCATGTCGGACCCCGAGGGAGACTACACGGACCCTTGCTCGTGCGACACCAGCGACGAGAAATTTTGCCTCCGGTGGTTGGCGCTCGTTGCCTTGTCCTTCTTGGCCCCCTGTATGTGCTGTTACCTTCCCCTTCGGGCCTGTTACCACTGTGGAGTGATGTGCAGGTGCTGCGGCGGGAAGCACAAAGCCGCCGTGTGACTCAGTTTCCCACTTGACCCCTCTTCCACCCACAGCCACGGGGAACTTGTCTCTTGCATTACCCCTCCCCGTCCCCCCTCCCCCGTCTTCTCCCAGGCTCCCTGGTCCCTTGCGACATCATTCCAAACCCTGGTAAGCTGCCACCCTGTGTCAGCCCGTACCCGTACTCTCGCAGTGTTTTGAAGAAAGGAGCCTTCTGCGTAGACGCGTGTATTTTACCAGCCTGTGGTCATGCTGTCTCAACCACGTGTTCATCTCCTGTCCCTCCCTCCTCCCCACCCCTTCCCAGTCCTAAGGAATCTGCAGTAGAAGCTTTTAGATCCGGAGGGGTTTAGAGTTGATTTTTTTTCCCCCCACGAGTACCGGAGACTATTTTTCTCCGAGTGGGCCTTGCCTGTCACCGACAAGCACGGGTTCCTCGGAGATGTGACCTAATGGTGAAACCCTAAGTATTGTAACGTGCAGCGTGTTGTTGTCTCTCGAGGAGGTGGGCTGGATGAACAATGTTACCACAGAACAATAGGGCTTTAACTCCTAAAGCCAGACTTCCCTCCTCGGCTGCAGTTTCTGTCTTCAGCTCATCTTCGTCTCCCCCCCCCCTCCCCACCTGTGGAATTCATTCGCTGATGCAAAGCAGTTACCTTTAAAATGACTTGAATTGAGCCTTAACTTCAGATTAACGTGTGAAAATCAGGAAAAACTCCTCAAATTGCATTGCATCCTCTCGGACCAGGGTTAGAAAGGGGATTTTGGGTTTTTATGAGCCTGCCCAGTTTACCCCTACAATAGGACTTTTTTTTTAGAATTGTGTTGCCACTTCTAAAATCCTAGCAATATTAGAATTGTGAAGTAAATTTCACTCATTATTTTGCAAACCAAGTGGACCTATTCAAACGCAAACCAGTGTTTTGGGAGCAAGTTCCAGTTGAGAAACACTAAAAATTGTGAATAAAACTGTAGCTGTTTCCCGCCCCCCTGAAACTATTTTATATCATTCAGGGGGAATTTTAAATACCATAAATTAGTGGTGGCTTGCATTTTGTTTAGGCTTATGTTTCCGTTTTAATTTAGGGCTCAATTCATTTATACTTAGGAAAAAACAAGGCCATATATAAAAACCCTTCCAATGCCTAAGTGTCTTTTCTCTCTCAACTCCGCACCCACACTTGCCACTTGGGGTGCACAGAAAAGGGTAGATCACCAACCGGCTCTGCCTGTGGCTGAGCCACATCAAAGGCTTCTGATTTGCTAGAGGAGGAAAAAGAACACTTTTTAAAATGTGTTGTTTGCAAGGACTAGCCAAATCTTGAAGGAGAAAAGTGGAAGTGGTTACCTGTACCTAGCATAGTACAATCAGAACTCCACGGGGACCGTAGGGGCCATGCTTGTCACCGCTGGCTGTTCTTCCCACCGAGACCTTTCCGTGGTAATTCCCAGCGGAAGGCAGGCTCAGCCCCTTCTCCTCCTTCCCCTTCCCCTATTGCACACAGGACATCAGTCTTCAAGGAAAAGGACTTTTTTCCAGTGTGTCGGCCATACTGGGAAAATGCTAGCCATGCTTACCTTAGTGGCCAAGTTTTCTGCTCGCCGTGACAGCCTGCCATGTTTCTTCAGACAGATCATCAGTGTAGATAATGAGTGAGTTGGTAGACGGTCTCCTTTGTTAGGATGACTGCGAGGGGGCTGTCTCTTGTAGAAAAGGTGCAGAGAGCTACCATCGTTGTCGAAGGGGGGGTCTCCGTGCCAGGAGACCATCCGGACTGCCTCCAGCCAGCCTCCAGTGCTGTGGAGAGACTGCCTGTCCCCGGCCCGAGGGACTTTCTCCAAGTCGCCTCTCTACAAAGCACAACACTAATCTCCGTCTCCTCAGACCTCAGTTCAAGTGCCCCTATTTATTTTGGTGAGAACCCGCGTCCCGATTGCTTCCTGTTCCTGCCTTGGCTCTGCCCCTGCCCCTCTCCTTTCCGCCCTTCTTAAGAGTTCTGCTAGTCAGTCTTACTCCGCACATCGTTTTTGGTTTGTGAAGGCAGCGGTTAAGGGCACAAAGACAGCCATGAGGACATTTATGTAAATACGTTTAATTGCCACACTGCGGCTGAACAGTGTCTAGTATTTTCCCAGTCAGCTTTGCCGTGCTGACGTCAATCATTTGAGAGAAATTATTCAGATTTTATTTTTATATCCGTGGTAACAAAACTTAGCCAAAAGATTCCCTGTTCTGAAGTTTCCCTAACTCCCCAAGCTATTTGCTCACATTAACAAATTAAAGTGCCTGAGCATAATTCATTCACCTGTATACTAAAACCCCTGTTGTATTGATTTTTTTATAATAAGCCTTTTTACCTCTGTAAAAAATATATATATAAATATATATATATATATACAAGTGTATGATGTACATTTTAGTTCTTAACTTTTTTTATGGTTTCTAATATGTATGACCAACGTAGCCATTGCTTTAAGATGTACCGTGTAAATATAAACACAACCTATCAGACCGTTGGCTGTGGGTGTTTTGTCTGACTGGGGTCCTCACGAAGGATGGGAGGGGGTCATGGATCTGTTTTTATGAGGTTCCTCCCCACAAGCACGCCTCAGAGAGGCTCTCCTTTCTCTGAGCTGTTTTCCACTGTCCCTGCTGAAGCCCAGGCAGAGGGAAGGGGGGTGGGAGACAGTTCTCGACAATGGTCCCAGGGCTGGTCCCAGGGCGTCTCTCCGGCCCACTTTCCAAATGGATCTTTTGGATGCCACAAAGCTACAAGGCGGTCCCCAGGAGAAGATAAAATAGCTCTTTTGAGGGTTACAGAAGAAAAGAGGCTTCTCTATAGAATGGTAAAGAGGTGTACAGACCACCCCCACCCCCCGCCACTCCATTCTTTTTCTAATGTTCCCAAGAAAGGGGGTGCTAAAGGGTTAGGAAACGGGAGGGTCTCCATGCCCCAGCCACCCCCGGTGAGCCGGCGTGGGGGAGACATTGTAAGGCCTCTCTTGACCTTCTTTGTCCCAGTGTTCGACAGCCAAGAAACCAAAGTGAGAATGGAAACTAAGGTGACTCCATAGTCTCACGGCAGGGCCTGGCCAGGCTGCCTAGGGACAAACCCCAAGTTCTTAAAGGGCCTTGTCCCAAGCTTCTGGGTCCCTCCCTGCTTGGAAAGTGAACCGCGGAGTGACTAGGCCACCCTCCGAGACTGCCTCAGGAACGACACAGGAGTTCAGTACCAGGAACGAGGCTGGCTGTGAATCTCACCTTTAGCCTCCACAAAATGAAACATTCATGCTCACGCCACACGAAGAAGGAGGCCCACACATGTGATGTCGCCTGGTCACAGTAGTCTGCCGTCACCAGCCACTTGTCCTCAGGCAGATGACGACTCTTCTCAGTTTCTTCTAACATAACTGTTATAGTACCCAATCCAGTCCCTTGTTCTCCCCCCCCCACCCCCAAGGGAGACAAAACCCTACCAGAACTGGGGTTCTAATCTACAGAGCTGGCCTGTCAAGGAAGTGAAGCTGGAACAACCTTGTACCACAAAACATAGCACCTTAACTTTTTTTAAAGTTTCATATTTATGCTTGAAGTTTTATTTTTTTTTTTATTTTTACTTATGTATTGGTGTAAATATATGCAAGTGTCCCTGGAGACCAGAAGAGAGTATCGGATGCCCTGGAGCTGGAGTTACAAGTAGTTGTGAGCCACCCAGCCTGGGTGCCGGGAAACTGAACTCCACTCTATGGAAAGGCACTCAGCCACCTTTTTAACCCGTCATCATTTCTGCCCCTCCCACTTAGTTGAATTTATTCAGTGATGCAAAACACTTACCTTTAAAGTGACTGACAATGATTGAGCCTTAAACTTGAGACAATGCGTTGAGGCAAAGATGACAAAGAAAAAAAAACAACAAAACCCCACTCAGGTCAACAGCGCTTGCTGCTTTCACAGAGGACCCCGCTTCGGTTCCTAACACCCACCCACGTGAAAGATCACTCTTAAAAAAAAAAAAGATTTATGTATTATGTATACAGTGTTCTGTCTGTATGCCTGCAGGCCAGAAGAGGGCACCAGATTTCGTATTGGATGGTTGTGAGCCACCATGTGGTTGCTGGGAATTGAACTCAGGTCCTCTGGAAGAGCAGCCAGTGCTCTTAACCTCTGAGCCATCTCTCCAGCCCCCTTCTTACTCTGTCTTGGAAAAAAAAAAAGTCTGAGACAGGAGGATTGCTTTGAGTTCAATGTCGGCTTGTACTATATAGTGAGTTCAAGGCAACCTGAGCTCAAAGCCAGCCTTCCAGGAAGCCTACAGGAGAGATTTACATAGAACGGGAGTGCTGGCTAGCAGAGGCCTTCTCACAGTGGAGGTCTGTGAGTAGAGACACACCCAGTCCTCATCAACGAGTCACAAGATGCTCTGTACCCCTGCAAATCTCAGAGCAGGTCGCTATTTCCTGGGGCCATCTCCCTGACTGGTTTCCCCTTTCTGCTCCGTCCATTCCACGTGGAGGCTGAAGGAGTGGCTGTCCAAAGAAAACAAACCTCAACCTGCTTGTGGAAAACGGGCCAGGGGAGGTGAGACAGGGTGTGAACTCTGGCTTGACAACGGGTACTGTTACCCGTGCCCTCCATGGTGGTTCCGTAATGTGATCCACGGGAGGCAAATTACTTCCTTGGTTCCTTGTTTGTTCTGGGCCTTGAGGGAAGATCAGCCACTGGAAAAGGCCACTTGGCTTGCTTCAAGGCACCCAAGGCCGAAGCATGTGGCGGGCATTTTGTAAGTCCATCGACAGCTTACTCGGTCCTTCTTTTTCTAACTACAATTCTCAGTTTGGTTACCCTTCCAAATACCCGAACAGCCAGCTGCTGCCCATAGAGGTATACAGCTGCTGCCTGCAGAGGTTCACAGCTGGCTGGACTCTGGGCAGCCAGAATGTGCAACGTGGAAAAAGGCAGTGGCCTCTGTCTAAGCCGTTCTGTGGAGAGAGCTGGTCCCAGCTCAAAGGTACTTGCCCAGCTTCGAAGCCCTGTCTGCCAGAACTCAGGACATTTGTGTGGACTCTGGGGTGCTCTCCCCCAAGCCAGGCCTCTGCTCCTCTTCCATGATGTTCTTCCAGTGAGGTCGCCACTGCTCCCCCTCCCCCAGTGGTGGACATCTATCCCCAAAATTAGTCCATTTCCAGAGGGAAAAGCATGGGCTGTGAAGCTTTGTTAAGGGGTCCGGCGGGGCAGTTTGCTATTTGTCATGGAATGCAAGCAGGCTTATAAACGGACACCAGAGCTTGTGAAATCACCCTTGGCTACAGGCGTTTTTTTTACTGCAGGCCTTTTGGAATGAGATGGTGGCCTTTGTTTTCCTGTTTTGGGAGTTCTGGAGCTCAAACCTAGGGCCTTCTACATACTGAGCTCCCACAGCCCCACCCTAGCCCCCATGAGTTGAGGCCTAAACCAGATGCTTAAAACGAAGGGACCCGACCCTGCCACACAGTGTCTGGCCTCAGCGTGCTTTGCGCGACCTCTCAGTCTTGCATCTTTCCTGTCTTGCACTGCCAAGCTGTGCAGCCAACCTGGGGTGGAGCAGCCCTGTACCAGCCACCCCCAGACTGCGGCTTCTGTGTGCCAGCTCTGGGGAAACGCCTTCTGAGGCAACTGCTTTTGAGGCTCAAAGAACCTCTTCAGCTGACTCTTCCTTGAAGGAGACTTGGAGATGCACAGGATGGAACCTCCGAAGGGCGTGGTTTGCCTTCAAGACAGCCTCCTGTGGTCGCAGAGCAGAAGGCCAGGTTTCCCTGCCCTGGTGCTAATCTCTTTAATGGTTGAGTTGTCTTTAACCCTGCTCACCTTTCCTCCAGGAACAATGAGTGCTTTATGTCTGACTGTGGATGTGATGAGCTGAGTGATTTCCAAAGTGCTTTCTTCTCTTCAGCTCTCTGATCCAAAGTTACAGGAACTAATGACAGGGAGAGCCAAGTGCATGCAAACTGCAGTGGTGGGGGATGTAGCTCGAGGTAGGCCTCAGCTAGTGTGTCTAGGAAATGGGTACATTCCCCAGCACAAAACAGACAGAACTGTGGATGCCTCATACTGCTCCTCTGTGCCAGACAGGGTGGCACCCACCCTTAATTCCAGCACTTAGGAGGCAGAGGCAAGTGGATTTCTGTGAGTTTGGGGCCAGTCAGTTGGAGGTCTCACTACATAGAGTGAGACTTGTCTCAAAAAAAATTTTTTTCCAATGGCGGTGATGGCACACGCCTTTAATACTAGCATTTGAGAGGCAGAGGCAGGCAGGTCTCTGTGTGTTCGAGGCCAGCCTGGCTTACAGATCGAATTCCAAAACAGCCAGAGCTGTTACATAGAAAAACCCTGTCTCGGGACCAAAAAAAAATTCTTAATTTAAAAAAATTAGTAAAGTGAGTCTAATAATTCAAAGAAGACAGGCTGCCAGTGTATGCTGCCCTGGTAAAATTCAGACACTCAAACACATATCTGAGTTTGAAAAATATGCTTGGCAGTTGCCCAGTAGATTTCCCTCATGATTAATGGAAAATTCGGTTAATGAACATTCTCCCGGCCCTCTGCTCGTGACCTGTCTTTGGTCAGAGCTGTAGTCACTTTGCATGTGAGTGCGAGGCTTCCTGGGGATCTAACAGGGATGGTGCCAGGGTGTGTCAGGTGAACAGCAGGAGGAACTGAGATGTCTCTGCAAGACGGCTTCTCTGCAGATGTAGCATAATGCTTGCCCTAAGCTCTGTCCTCAGGAGGCAGAGGCTGGAGGATCAGAAGTTCAAGGTCATTTGAGCCCAGTCTGAGCTAGATGAGATCCTAGCTTAAGAAAAAAAAATTTCAAAACTTGGGGCAGGGTTATAGCTCAATGGTAGATGAACCCCTGTGTGATTTCACTCCCGAGCACCACTAGGATGCGGGGGAAGTGTGTGTGTGTGTGTGTGTGTGTGTGTGTGTGTGTGTGTGTGTGTGTATGTGTGTGTGTGTGTGTGTGTTTAATATATAAAATAATGAAAATGAAGTGGGTAAACTCTCAGAATAGCTGCATCATTCATTGTACTGTTTTCTGCCAAATGGCCAAAGTATGCAGCTGTAAGCTTATATGTGTGCAAAAGATCCATTCAGAACAGAAGACACAGATTTGATGTGACAAAATAATGTTCTCAGACTCTACCACACAACTAACCTTTAAGAAACTGTCACTTGTGAGTTTTGGCATTGTACCAAAGAACTAGCCACAAGATTTCAAGAAGTTATTAAAATCCTCATACTAACCAGACTTCGTGGCACATACTTTTAATCCCAGCACCTGGAAGGCAGAAGCTGGTAAATCTCTGAGTTCAAGGGCAGCCCAGTCTACATAACAAAACAGTCTAAAAAAAAAACACAAAAAATTAAAATACACACACATCTCCTTACCTCTCCCATAACAGATCAGTCTGAGGTCAGATTTTCTCCATAGATGTCATCAAAATAACACCACAGGGGTTGGAGAGATGGCTCAGC